AGTTGCTGGGATTTATAGTTCACCTACAATCAAAGAGCATTCTGAACTCCACCAATGATGGAATTGAACCAAACTTGGCACACAGAACTCCCATGACCAACAGAAAATACTGGAAGGGTTTGGTGGGCATTGGCCTTGAGTTTTGGGAGTTGTAGTTCACCTACATTCAGAGAGCATTGTGAACTCAAACAATGATGGATCTGGACCAAACTTGGCATGGATACTCAATATGCCCAAATGTGAACACTGGTGGAGTTTGGGGAAAATAGACCTTGGCATTTGGGAGTTGTAGTTGCTGGGATTTATAGTTCACCTACAATCAAAGAACATTCTGAACCCCACCAATTAGAATTGGGCCAAACTTCCCACAAAGAACTGCCATGACCAACAGAAAATACTGTTTTCTGATGGTCTTTGGTGACCCCTCTGGAAACCCCTCACGACCCATCCAGGGGTCCCGACCCCCAGATTGAGAAACACTGGACTAGTTGAAGCTTCCGGGCAGTCTTCAGAGGCAACCCCACGTAAAGTGTGTTGCAGTAGTCTATTTGGGATGTAACAAGAGCGTGGACCACCATGGCCAAGTCAGGCTTCCCAAGGTGCAGCCCGAAAGACAGTTGCATCTATCAAGTAGGAAATTTAGGTACCGCTTTATGCGGGGAGGCTAATTTAACTAATTTACAATGCCATAAAACCTTCCAGCAGCATGCAGAAGAATGAGAAAGTACTCCATCAAAGGACCCAGTGTCACAAGTGGACAGTGAAGCGGCAGATCCCCCTGTGGCCGGAACCAAGCACACCCTCATGAAGCCGGAAAAAGCTGGAATGTTAAATTGTCTCTGTGTCGGTCTATATATGTCCTATGTCTAAATGGCATTGAATGTTTGCCATATATATGTGCATTGTAGTCCCCTGTGGGGTGAAAGGGCGGAATATAAATACTGTAAGTAAATAAATAAATAGTCATGAACCATCCCTCTTGCAAAGGGAAGTTTTAGTCTTGAATGATCAATTAAGATCCACGAACTTTACAGAATCGCTGTGTCTTTGTTCTACCTGTTCCAATGTGGCTTTCGATTTTCTGAGCTTCTACTTGAAGGGCTCCAAAGGTCACTGTGGGGACTGTCCCAAGGTGCTCCTGTGCATTGAGACACCACTTCTTCCTGATGCAATTACTTCTAAGAGTTACTTTTCTATAATTTGTTATACAGTAAACAAAGCCTCCGGTGGCGCAGCGAGTTAAACCGCTGAGCCGCTGAATTTGCTGACTGAAAGGTCAGCGGTTCAAATACAGGGAGCGAAGTGAGCTCCTGCTGTTAGCCCCAGCTTCTGGCAACCTAACAGTTCGAAAACATGCATGAGTAGATCAATAGTATTATATAGATTTTATTTATCGTGTCAGGAGCAACCAGACATTTGTATTACATTTTTAACAAAACAAACAAACAGAAAAAATGCAAAGTTTGCAAGCTTGGTAGTTGATTAGTATCTGGCCACTTAGAGTGCCTCTGGTGTTGCCGCAAGGAGGTCCTCCATTGTGCAGGGCTCAGGTTGCATTGCAGCAGGTGGTCAGTGATTTGCTCCTCTCCACACTCGCATGTCGTGGATTCCACTTTGTGGCCCCATTTCTTGAGGTTGGCTCTGCATCTCGTGGTGCCAGAGCGCAGTCTGTTCAGCGCCTTCCAAGTCGCCCAGTTTTCTGTGTGCCCAGGGGGAGTCTCTCATTTGGTATCAGCCATTGATTGAGATTCTGGGTTTGAGCCTGCCACTTTTGGACTCTCGCTTGCTGAGGTGTTCCAGCGAGTGTCTCTGTAGATCTTAGAAAACTATTTCTTGATTTAAGTCATTGATATGCTGGCTGATACCCAAACAGGGAATGAGCTGGAGATGTCTCTGCCTTGGTCCTATCACTGTTGGCTGCTACTTCCCGGCAGATGTCAGGTGGTGCAATACCCACTAGACAGTGTAGTTTCCCCAGTGGTGTAGGGTGCAAACACCCCGTGATGATGCAGCATGTCTCATTAAGAGCTACATTCACTGTTTTAGCGTGGTGAGATGTGTTCCACACTGGGCATGCATACTCAGCAGCAGAGTAGCAAAGCACAAGGGCAGATGTGTCTGGTTGTGATCCCCAGGTTGTGCCAGTCAGCTTTCGTATGATATTATTTCTAGCACCCACTTTTTGCTTGATATTCAGGCAGTGCTTCTTGTAGGTAAGAGCACGGTCCAGAGTATAGATAATGAGACATCTTGGAGACGGAACCCAGGTCTGAACATGAATTTAATTTTAAGTTTCATATACACCCTATAGACATAGCCTGGTGGTAATTTTATACACAACATTCTTAATAGTTCTCCCTAACCAAATTTTGCACAAAATCACTGTCACTGAACATCGAGAAAACCAAAGTGCTGTTCCAGCAGTCACCAGCCGTCCCTCTCCAATGCCAGAGATACAGCTTAATGGTGTAACATTAGAAAATGTTGACCATTTCCGCTACCTTGGCAGCCACCTCTCCACCAAAGTCAACATCGACACCGAAATACAACACCGCCTGAGCTCTGCGAGTGCAGCATTTTTCCGAATGAAGCAGAGAGTGTTTGAGGACCGGGACATCCGTAGTGATACCAAGGTGCTTGTTTATATTGCTATTGTCCTCCCAACCCTGCTATATGCCTGTGAGATGTGGACTGTCTACAGACATCACATGCAACTCCTGGAACGATTCCATCAGCGCTGCCTCCGGAAAATCCTGCAAATTTCTTGGGAAGACAGGCGGACAAACGTCAGTGTGCTGGAAGAAGCAAAGACCACCAGCATTGAAGCAATGGTCCTCCGCCATCAACTCCGCTGGACCGGCCACGTTGTCTGGATGCCTGACCACCGTCTCCCAAAGCAGTTGCTCTACTCCGAACTTAAGAACAGGAAAACGGAATGTTGGTGGACAGGAAAAGAGATTTAAAGATGGGCTCAAAGCCAACCTTAAAAACTCTGGCATAGACACTGAGAACTGGGAAGCCCTGGCCCTTGAGCGCTCCAGCTGGAGGTCAGCTGTGACCAGCAGTGCTGCAGAATTAGAGGAGGCACGAGTGGAGGGTGAAAGAGAGAAACGTGCCAGGAGGAAGGCGCATCAAGCCAACCCCGACCGGGACCGCCTTCCACCTGGAAACCAATGCCCTCACTGCGGAAGAAGATGCAGAGCAAGAATAGGGCTCCACAGCCACCTACGGACCCACAAGGAAACCCATGATGGAAGACCATCTTACTCGTCCAACGAGGGATCGCCTAAGTAAGTAAGTTGCACAAAATGTTGTTAGAAGCACTTTATTTTATGGTTTGTGCAATGAAATCCTTCCTCATTCCCGGGTCTCCCTCCTTACAATTTACACTGTCCTATCTCCCAATGTTTTAATTTTTTTTAATTGAATCTGTCCCTGTACAGTGAAATCTTCTGTCTTTTTAATACTTGGTTTTATATCGTTGTGTTGTTTATTATATTGTTTTTCGCAATTTTTTTGTATTTTGTTTGGTTTTATTATGTTTTGTGTTATATTGTTTGTATTGTATTGATGGGCATGGCCTCATGTAAGCCGCGCCAAGTCCCCTTGGGGGAGGTGGAGTGGGGTATAAATAAAGTATTATTATTATTATTATTATTATTATTATTATCTGTGCATGAAATAAAATGTGTGTATGCTGAATGATCTGAAAGCAAAGACATCACTGCCTTAGCCATCCAGGTGGACAATTTTGGATTTTGGAGTATTTTGGTTTTTGGAATAAGGGATGCTCAACCCATATGTATGGGGCCGCAGTGGGTTAAACCGCTGAGCTGCAAAACTTGCTGACCGGAAGGTCGGCGGAACGAATCTGTGGGACAGGATGAGCTCCTGCTGTTACCCCAGCTGGTTTCGAACTGCCAACCTAGCAGTTCAAAAACATGCAAATGCGAGTAGATAAATAGGAACCACTCCAGCAGGAAGATAACGGCGTTCCATGCTGTCATTCTGGCCACATGACCTTGGAGGCGTCTGCGGAGAACGCCAGCTCTTTGGCTTAGAAATGGAGATGAGACCCACCCCCCAGAGTTGGACACAACTAGACTTAATGTCAGGGGAAACCTTTACAGTAGGCCCTCCAACTTTGTGGGTTTAATTTCTGCAATCTGATTATGCATTGGTTTTTTTTAATGAGGTAGGTCCTTGTAGTCTCAGTTTGAATATGTTTTTATGGTTTTTAACTGAATGTGTCTAATACCAATGATATTTAATTCTGCTTTAATGTTTGTATATTAGTAGATTTTGAATGCTTTTAATCTAAGCCGCTATTAATTACCTTGCTGAAAGAAAAAGTGGAGTAAACATAATAATAAGGAGCCCCCGGTGCCGCGGTGGATTAAACCCTTGTGCTAACAGGACTGAAGACCGACAGATCAGAGGTTCGAATCCAGGGAGAGCGCGTATGAGCTTCCTCTGTCAGCTCCAGCTCCCCATGCGGGGACATGAGAGAAGCCTCCCACAAGGATGGTAAAACATGAAAACATCCCAGCGTCTCCTGGGCAACGTCCTTGCAGACGGCCAATTCTCTCACACCAGAAGCGACTTGCAGTTTCTCAAGTCGCCCCTGACACAAAAACAAAACATAATAATGATGATAATAATAATGACAACAGCAGCTTCTACGGAGGTTGACCATGGAATGGTGCTGAAGGACCCAAGATCCTTAGAGACAACACCTCTCTGGGAATTTCTTAGTCTTCTAGCACAATGTTATGGTGGACATTAACCATAAAGTAACACTGGAAGACCTAGAGATTTCTAGAGAGGTCTTCTATGATTTTTTTTTAAAAAATCTCTATTCATGGTTTTCCCACTTTCACAGGAGCCATGTGTCCCTAATCTCAGTGATGGTCAAGGGAGGAATGTATTCAAAGTAAAGTTCTCATCTAGAATCCGTTGGTCTCTTAGTTGATTGTGCTAACAAAGGTTTTCTTTTCCAGTTGCCCCATAGCCACCTAGCAGCAGGTACTGTCATCTGAACAAAGTGTGACCCTGCAAGCGGCAGCCTCCCACAATGCCGACCAGCGGGAGGACCTTGGATGAATTTGCCGTGTCCGAGGAGGCGCAAGAGGTGGTGACACAGCATCGGCCCCGCATTGAACAGCTCTTTGGGGTCGAGCTGAATGTCCTGGGGGTCTTGGGGTTGGACCAGGGCCCTGGCGGGGACCTTCCGGAGGCCAGGAAGATCTGGTTGCAACTGCAGGGCCATGGAGACAACCTACAGAGAGCAAAGGTAAGGGATCTGGAAGCATCTGGAGACCAGAATGGCCATGGGGAGCCTTAAAACATGGCAGAAATGTCCTCCTAGAGCAGTGCTTCTCAACTTGGGGGTCGGGACCCCTGGGGGGTCGCGAGGGGATGTCAGAGGGGTCACCAAAGACTGTCAGAAAACAGTATTTTCTGTTGGTCATGGGGGGAAGTGAGAGCAGGCATGCTTGGCGCATGGCAGCATGGTGTGCATGTGCGGGTGACGGAGAGCATACAAGGTTGGAGGGAGGCTCGTGCCAGTGAGTCTCTTCAAGGCATGAGGGTTCTCTGTGGGAAGTTTGGCCCAATTCTATCCTTGGTGCTCTTTGATTATAGGGGAACTATAAATCCAAGTAACTACAACTCCCAAGTGTCAAGGTGTATTTTACCCAAACCCCACTAGTGTTCACATTTGGGCATATTGAGTATTCATGCCAAGTTTGATCCAAATCCATCATTGTTTGAGTCCACAATGCTCTCTGGATGTAGGTAAACTACAACTCCAAAACTCAAGGTCAATGCCCAACAAATCCATTCAGTATTTTCTATTGGCCACGGCAGTTCTTTGTACTAAGTTTGGTTCCATTCCTTCATTGGTAGAGTTCAGAATGCTCTTTGATTGTAGGTGAACTATAAATCCCAGCAATTACAACTCCCAAATGACAAAATCAACCCACCCCCCAAAAAGCCCCCCACCAGTATTCAAATGTTGCTGTACTGGGTATTTGTGCCAAATTTGGTCCAGTGAATGAAAATACATCCTGCATATCAGATATTTACAGTACAGTTCATAATAGTAGCAAAATTACAGTTAGGAAGTAGCAACGAAAATAATTTTATGGTTGGGGGTCACTACCAGATGGGGAACTATATTAAGGGGTCGCGGCATTTGGAAGGTTGAGAAACACTGTCCTAGAGGACATGGGGGATATTTGGCGACATATTATTTCTGTTTTGGTTGATGAAAGGATATGATGGTGATATGGCCCTCTCTAGAACCTCCAGCCTTCCACTTTTGTCCACCTCCACTTTAGGAGGTTCTCAAAAAGGTTGTCAGGTTGACACCAGGTTTAGGAGGTTCTCAAGGAGGTTGTCAGGTTGTCTCCCGTCTTTGTTTTGTCTGAAGGCTCTGAGATGAAGCATGTAGCTTTGTATAGCATGGGATGGCAATCACACATCTCTCCAGAACGAGTGTGGCGAAGAGCAAACTACAGACCACCTGCTGCAATGCAACCTGAGCCCTGCTACATGCACAATGGAAGACCAGAGGCACTCCAAGTGACCAGCTACTGGTCAAAGGACATTTAATCAACTACATAGCTTGCAAACTTTGTGTTTTGTTTGTTTGTTAAAAAGTGCAATACAACTGTTTGGTTTGCTCCTGACACGATAAATAAATAAATCTCTCCAGAAGCGGAATCATATGATGCTTCAGATTTTGTTGGATTACAAATCCCCATGGTGCTAGCCAACATTGCCAATGTGAAGGCATATCAGGAGCTACATTCCAACAACCTAACATGATTCCCATTCTTGGATTATGATAACAAATCAGTGAACAGGGAGGCACTGGAAACTATACCATGGATCAAGTTTTATATCAATTCATCAATAGGCCCTTCTCTTTCACAGGAATTGAAAGTGGAAAAAATGAATCAAAATATTTATTTGGGGTGCTGATTCCGAAAATTGCATTGGATCGACCACATCAGCTCTAGTTTCTGATACAGAACATATGCCATCCAGTAGCCACCGTCTGCTCACCCACACAAAACCATATTTAATAAACCTCGGCACTATAAGAGGGTTTTGCAAGACCAGTTGCTGTTCTTGCAACAGTGTAGTAACACTGAGGCCGTGGACCATATTTTAGTTCTTGTGGACCACTAGTGGTCCACGGACCACAGGTTGGGAACCGTTGCTGTGGAGCACATATTAATCAAACCTGCAAATGTAGAGGGCTGACTTCATTAGTTTTTGGAGAGAGTAGTTGACTGCAATAGACTTCATAGAAAATTGTTGCAATATGAAATTTCTCATAACAAAAGATGTTGTTCTGCCCAAAAATGTTTTCGTGGCTTCAATGTCACATCCAGATATGCTTTGTTTTCCAGGAATACATCAAAGGCCTTTGTGCTCCGGAGCTGAGTGAGGAGGTTTACTACCCTAAAGACATGCAGTGCATCTTTTTGGGCGCCCAGGGATTATTCTTGAACTGCCTCACCCAAGGGACTTCTGCTCACATTACCTTTCTCCGCCCTGGAGTCTTGCTGATCTCAGGTTTGGCTGAGGCTTTCGTCATGGCCCAGAGCCGGGTCCAAGAGTTTGTGGGAAAGCACCAGAAGAACCTCAAGCTTCCAGAGGAACAGGAGGCCCAGGTCAAGCGAGCCTTCCGGGATTTGGTGGAGACCTACGATGACAAGCATGCAATGGACCTCTTGATCCTGCCCACGTCGGTCAAAGAGGAGCTACTCAACTTGGTGAAGGAGAGTCAGGAAGACAGACAAGGAAGTGAATGCTGGACAACACCTAGCCTTGACCAAAACTCTTCTCTAGAATGGGAAACAGTAACTCTGGGTGGTGGCAGGCCACAATCACCCAAAAGACCTCAGAATACATTTGGGTTGCCAATGGGACTGACAATAATCCGAGAAGAGAGCAGAAGTAGAGACTGTAGTGTTGAATTGCCAGCAGGTTTTGCCAGACTTCAAGAATCTCCTCCAAAGTCCCATGATTTTACCCAACCACAGTGTTCTTCTAGTAGGCATCGAAGTGCTAGGACTGACCAAGACCAAGCTTTGCCTCAGGCATCAAGGGTTGACTTTCCCAGGGGCTTTGCTGAGGCTGAATTGAATGCGAGGCCTCAGGACTTCCGATATGGTATGAACGGTCTTCAGGGTTGGCATGAGACAAGTGCTTCAAGGCCAGCGCTTCCTAAGAGTTCCCCCCAACCCATCCCAGCTGCAAGGACTACTCATAAAACATGCACTTTTCCTGGTTATGCAGGTTTAACTGAGTCTTTGGAGGATAAACAAGAGGAAGGGAAGAGTTTTCTTTGTGCAAGGGATTCCAGTCCTGCTAGCTTGCCTGAAGAAACCTCTGAGGAGGAAGTGTCCTCAGACATCCAGTTGTCATCGTGGACAGAGAAGGAGTTCAAAATGAGGCTAAACTTCTTTAAAACCATGGGCTATGAGGAGCGGGTGGTTAAGAAGATTCTTTTGGAGGGCGGTGTGCGGGAAGCGCCTTCCACCATCTTGGATAAGGTCCACATGGCAGAAGCAAGCCAGAGAGATCTCGTCCTCCCCCAGATAGAGCCTGGGGGGAAAGAGTTTCCCCCTCCTTCACCTGAAAAGATGCAGGATGAAAATGAGTACATGAGGGAGATCATCAGAACTGCAGTGGCCAACTGTGGTCACTCGCCTAGTGAGATCTCCACAGAGATACACACAGGAGCCCCACTCGCGGATATACTGAGGCGTCTCCATGAGAAAGGAGAAGAACAAGAAGGTGCGACGGGAACCTCGGCAATGAAGACAGAACATGGTGGGCAGCCTGGTGTCCGGAGGGCAACTGTTTTGAATCACAAGGAACCCTTGCTGCGGAAACGTGATAATAATACCGAGCAAAACAGTGGGTCCCCATTCCATGAGGAGCCCCACGGCTTACCACCGAACCCAGTAGTTGTTGCTTTTTCTCCTGACATTCCCTCCGCCGGTAATTTTTTGTCTTCTACATCAGATTCTGAGGAGAACCATTCCTCAGAAAGCACCAGCTTTGGGCTTTCCCACCATGGCCCAGTGTCTACGGTAACAGGAGCCCAGCGCTTTGAGGAGGCTCTCCAGACGCAGTTCAAGCTCAAGCTGGCCAACACACCCGGGAAGAAGAACCTGCGGATGATCATCATTGATGGCAGCAACGTGGCCATGATGTGAGTATGAGCTGGTGAGAGGAGGCCTGAGGAGACATTCTAATTCTTGAGATGGTCCTTTGGATGAGAGATGGTCATATCTAGAGCAGTCGTTTTAAAATAATTTCATGTGGTTGTGTCAATAATCGTGGACAAGTGTTATGAATCATTTTTCAAAAACTCAAAGCATGGGTTCTTTTAATTGCAATTTTCCAGTAAAAAAAAAAAAGAGTATCAGAACTTTTACAGAACAATATTTAGACATACAGACATACACGTTCTATGTAACTACATTGGATTCACAAACCTACAGTTACATTGGCTAGCAAACAAAGGGGAATTGCATTTTCACTCTGCATTCACATCTCATATAAACATTCATCCATCACCATGCATACATCACCATTTCACCATTCTTCCTCCATGAAGAACATCTCTTAGACCAGACTGCTTCCTTGCAAATCTGCCAACGCATCGTTCCATAACTTCAAAACTGCAAAACACCAAAATGCACCATTTCTCTAAGCACAATGCCAAAGATCAGACCTCTATTTTCCATACAGTAGAACCTAACTTCCCTGCACAAACCCCTTTTCCCTTGAGAAAAGGAGGCATACAACATCTCTGTCCTTCCCATGGACCAGAGCATGGCGGTTGAGCAGCTCTGCTGTCTGTCACAATTTTTGGACTGTAATAAGATCTCTTATATAGCAATATTTTGCTGATGTTGTCCCAAAGTTGTAAATTATTGACAGGTTATTTGGCCAGCCTAAAACATGATGATTGCGTCTCAGTTTCCGGGCAGATGTTGACTCTTTCTAATAGGTGTTGGTCTTGTGCTGACTTCCTTCTTAACAACCTTGACTTAAAAGAGCCATTGTCTCTGATTAATGTAAACACATTGTTTTCCCCAAAAGTTTTTATCACTGTCACAGTTCTTATCGATGTCAGCAGTTAATCAACTTTTAATTACAGTTTAGCAAGCAGGTAGTTAGTCATTGCAGGTCTTAATATTTTTGAATGGTGTCTTCAGAATTATTTGCTCCCATTAATTCATTCCTTTCATACAATTCCAGTCAAACCATATATCATATTTCATCGTGACACAAGGCTATCTTTTGGTGGATAGCATGCACCTTTGGAGAAGACCACGACCAACCCAGTGTAGTTTTCCCAACACTTGAGCCTTCTAAATAGCTCACACTGTTCTTTTTCAGGCTCGAGGAAGAACTAATTATTTGCCAGTTATCAACCAATCTGGTTGCCATAATCTTGGTTTTTTTATGTTTAACTGTAACTCAGCTTTTGCACTTTCTTCTTTCACGTTGGTTAGAAGGCTCCTCAGCTCCTCCTCTTTTTTAGCCATCAGAGTAGTATCATCTATATATCTAAGGTTGTTAATATTTCTTCCAGCAATTTTAACTCCAACCTTGCATTCGTCAAGCCCTACGAGCATGACGAATGCATGCCCTGCTGTCCTCCTTTCCCACTCTTGAACCAGTCTGTTCAATCTTGAACCTAGGGCAGATCCCACATGAATATGAGGGTCACAGTTTAATGAGGCTGTTAAAGGCTGCTAAAGGCTCCTCCCTAAACTACAAACCCCAGAATTCTGCAGGAGGCAGAAACCAGATTTTAGGTGGATTTTTTCTCTAGTGTGATGAGGCCATTATAAACAGACAAACGTCAAATAGAGGAGGCTTGAGAAAGTTGCTATCTCCAACAATAATTGTGTTGCGTGAAAAGGCTGTGGAACCCGGCAAGTTCAGTGTCTGTCCAGCATGCTTTTACATATTACACTTTTGTAAAAGTGATGCTGCTTCAATGGTTGACTCATAAACTGCTATGACAGTTATATAAAATAAACAGTAATTTTACAGGTGCCTTTAGTGGCAAAATGTGCCATGCTATATTTGGAAATACAGATTTGAAGGACTAGATTTAGTAAACAGAGTCCCAGAAGAACTATGGACAGAAGTCCGACATTGTTCAGGAGGCGGCAACAAAGTACGTCCCAAAGAAAAAGAAAACCAAGAAGGCAAAATGGTTGTCTGCTGAGACACTGGAAGTAGCCCAAGAAAGGAGAAAAGCAAAAGGAAAATAGGAATAGGTAAGGGAGATATGCCCGAGTTAAATGGCACAAGCAAGAGGTTTAGCCAGAAGAGATAACAAAACCCCCCCCCCCCCCCAAAAAAATGAACATAGTCTTTAAAAAATTATAGAAAAACCATCAAACAACAGATAGGAAAGGACAAGTGCAGAGACTCCTAAAAATTAGAAACATTGGAGGTAAATTCCAGGCAAAAATTGGTATGAAGAAACAAAGATGGCAGGGACCTAACAGAAGCTGAAGAGATCAAGAGAAGGTGGCGAGACTATACAGAAGATCTGTATAGGAAGGATAATAATATTGAGGATAGTAATGATGGTGTGGT